AAGAAAGGGAGGCTTGTTGCTTGCCGCTCAATTGCTCCTGCCTTGTCTACCATGGACTCTTTCTCCTCTTTGATGCCCCTCTGCAATGCCATCCTGTCTTGGAGTCAGCCAACTATGGACTGAAGCCTCTACAAATTGTGACACAAAATAAATCTTTCCTCCTGTAATGTTTGGTGTTGGGTATTGTCTCAGCAATGAAAAAAGTAAGATTTTGGAGACTGTCAAGAAAGTATGCTCAGGGCCGGGGAGATAGTTCAGTAGAATAAGTGCTTGCCTGGCAAGCACAGGGTCCTGAGTTCAATCCCCGGTACTGAAAAAAAAGTCTGCTCTATAGAGAAAGCCATACATGGGGTTTAACAACTCTTTGGTAGTATCTCACTAACATCAAAAGGTCAGAGTATTCACTCACACGAAAGGTCTTTTTGAAAAAATAAAGTACATGACTCGGATTTCCATAGCTATCTCAGCTAAAAGCAAGAATAGATATTAGGTAGAAAATGTGTCAAGAGTCTCTAACTGCAGAGTGTGAATATCTGTAACACTGAGGAAGACCCACAAGGTTCTTGAGAATGGTATAAACACAAAAAAGTCTTCTAGATTGGACTGAAAAGTATGGGGAGAACACGGAATGAAAGAAGTCTATTGGACCTTCACAATTCTACAGTCAAAAAAACAGACTGATGAAACTCAGTTGCAAACACATGAACTTCATGAACAAGGTAGTATGATTTTGAGGGTGAAAGCACAAAGCCAGAGGACACAGCTGCATGCCCCAGAGTTGACTCTCCATCTTTGAAATAGAATTGATTTCTCTAGGTGGATGTTTGAAACTGGTTGGCAATTCCTTTTATTTTCTGTTCCGTTTCCCCCCTCTTGACCTAGAATATGTACAACTCGTATCACGTCTGCTACTGCACTTCAGGTGTAAAGTGTGCAGAAAGAGAAGAAAGAAGGAAGGAAAGGAGGGAGGGAGAGAGGGAGGGACAAAGGGTGGAAGGAAGATATCCAGTGATGGAAAGGAATTGTTCCCCAAGACCATCATGCTCACAGTATCACCAATATGTGATTCAGATAGTAAGATTTGGAACTTCTGAGCTGATGACATTTCGTTGAAATTTTATGCTCTCAGTTAACATGATAATAGGATGAGACTTTATTGATGTGGGGATGTAGGGCACACCTCACACATGCAAGGTAAATCTTAGGAGATCAGAGGACAGATTATGGTAAACAAAGTAACAGTCCTCCAAAGATGTTAGGATCCAGTCCTCGAAACTTGTGACTATGTTAGGTCAGATAGCAAGGGGTAATTAAGACTGCAGATGGAATTAAGGCTACTTATCAGCTGATCTGAAAACAGGAAGATTATCCTGAACTAGCCAATAAGATCACGGGGCTCTTTGAAAATGAGAGTGGTGCGGAAGAGTCAGAATTAGTGGAGTTGTGATGACAAGAGGCAAAGTCACCAGAATGACACAATGTGAGAAGAACTCAACTCATCATCACTACATTAAAGTTGGAGGAAGAAGAATTTGGCCCAAGCAATGCTGGCAACTTCTAGAAACTAGAAAAGGAAATCTGCACCAGACTTCCAAACTACAGAATCCTGGATTGTAAATTAGTATTGTTTTAAGCCACTACATTTGTGAAAATTTGTTACAATAAAGACCCTTCCTATTGTTCATAGACTAGAGTTGAACCTTACTCTATTTTCCATAAAAATTATGAAATATATCATGGCTTCCCCATGAATTCATTATATGCAGCTTGGCACATAGTTTAGGAATTGTGATTTTAGGACAAGGGTCAGCAAACCACAGCTCAGAGGCAATTCCCACACACTGCCTGCTTTTGTGAGCAAAACTGTATTGTATACAACCATTCTCATTTCTTTACTTACTACCACATTGTTACTATCTGCTTTTTACTATGGCAGAATTAAGTGGTTGTGAAAGAGACCATATGGCCTCAAAGCTCAAAATATTTCCTTTGTGGCCCTTCTTAGAAAATGTTTGCCAATTCCTACTCTAGGATTTTGCCCTACTCTATCCATCTAACTTGATTTCCTTCACTCCAATTACATTCCTTTGTCCTTGATCTCATAGTGACAGCATCCTGAGTTCCTGTCACTACCTTAGGTCATGCTATAACTTCATCATGAAATTCCTTTTCTTCTTTTCTCTAAACTGGTATCATTTAAGGTATACATAAACTCATACTTTTACATAAAACTTATCCTGTTCTATAAGGGTATTTTTCCTATAGTGTACCTGTTAACTTCTAAAAGATGAGAGTCATTTATTACTATGTAACTATTTCATATATATGACAATCTATTATCAGATGAGATCGGACGTATGCAGTGATGGGACATAGATCAATCTATTATCAGAAAGAAATCAACTGTGTCCTGAATTTCTCTGGAACATTCTATAAGGGCTAGCTACTGTGTAATGTACCAGTAGAGTGCTCAACTAATACATATTTCTTAAGATAAAGTTCATGGTAAAGATGTTTTAAGATTGAGCCTTGAGAGCTATAGCTGAAATCTGATATACCTAAGCGTTGAAAATATTAATATAGATTATTTATTTATAGATATTCAAGCACTAAGATAGCTGGCATCTTTTATTAGAGTGTTGATGTCTATATTACATGTAGATGTTGATGTCTATATTACATGTCTATATTACATGTATTTGTCTGTGATAGTAGACAACCTTATTAAACCCTCTCAAGTTCCCATATTTTATCTAACTACTTTTTCATTTTATGTAAAAAAAATTGAGTATAAAATAGCAATAGGAAAAAAAATTTTTAATAAAAAAAATTAAAAATAGCAATAGGGGTGGGGATATAGCTCGGTGGTACAGTGCATTGCTTAGCATATGCATGCCCCTGGGATCAAGCCCCAGAATCAAAAAGAGGTGGGCAATAATATCAGACTTTAGATAAGAATTATGAAAATTTATCATCTCCAAAAGAATACATCAAGGTAGTATATTAGTTCTTTATTTTCAATAAACTGTATAACAGAATAAGCTTCTTAACAGAAACTCTGTATGTTTAACTGAATAAAGAATTTAAAGTATCTCCTTTTAGATAGTTGGCAATGACCTCAAACCCATCATATGAAAACTAGAGGGCTGGTGAGGTGGCTCAGTGGTCTAAAGCACCTACTTAGAACAAGCTAAGCTGAGCAAAATACAGGGACCGCGGTTCAATCCCCTAGCACCACATGCCAGCCAGCCCTGTCCCCTGGTGGGCTGAGCTGGCCACACACACACAAAATAAATAAATAAATAAATAAAACTAGACATCAAAACCAAGGGTCTAATGTGTCCAGAATTTGAAATGCAGATATGAGGTGGTAGGGTGGCAAAGATGATACAGAAACATGTGAAATAATTTGTAATATTCAGTATTTAAATTTCAACAAATTTTATTTAGGTAAACATCAGAAATTCACTACTTTTGCTTAAGAGAAAGAGAATAACATGGATCTGAGACTTCTCTTAAATCAATGTCATTTATAAACTTGCATTCTTAAGAGTCAAGTCCTGATAAAAGGTCTCCACTATGGGTCAGACTCCTATATAAGTGACCAGTTTATTTAAACTGAGGGCACCTAGGTGAATAGTCTGACTGACCAAAACCCAATTACACTGAAATTAATTTGTGATTACCATTCAAACAGTTTATCTCTCTGTTAAACACTAAGCCTAGAGTTCTGAAGGTTCCAGATAAATCAAGGTACAACATTTAATTAACTTTATTACAGTTTTGGTCACACAAAAATAGATTTAGGAAATTACTTTTCTCCTACTCTTAAAAAAAAGTGATCTACTGTGACATGAAAGAAATGATCAACTATCCTGATGACTTTGGTCCATACTGTGCCTTTTTCTGGCCTTACATATATTTCTGGTCACTTAGAATGTCCTATTCATCCACTTAGAAAACTTCAATTTTTCCTTCAAGTTTAAAATCTAACACAGTCTGATTTGTGATGCCTTTCTTGATTCCTTTAAGTATATTGAAAAGTTCCCATTTTGCATATGTGCCTTATTCACAAAATTATTTTATAGATATTTAAGTTTCATATTGGTATATGTATTATCATACTTGTTCAAAGCATAAAGGACTCTTTTCATTATGTCCTTCATACCTGATACATAGGAAGAATCTCATAATTCTTGATGAAAGAAGGAATGAATGATCTTTCCTTACCTCAAAGTTTTTTAAAAAGTCTCTTCTAATTTGGCTTTTATAATTCCTTTTTTCTTCTATAAAAACTATCACTACTGGGCTGGTGAGATGGCTCAGTGGTCTAAAGCGCCTACTTAGAACAAGCTTAGCAAAGCACAGGGACCGCAGTTCAATCCCCCAGCACCACGTGCCAGCCAGCCCCGCCCCCTGGTGGGCTGAGCAGGCCACACACACACACACACACACACACACACACACACACACACAAATAAATAAATAAAATTTTTTTAAAAATCACTATAGGTTCAGATACAATGTCAAGTTCCTTTCTGATTTTTAACCAGTTTGTCTTCCCCAGTTAATCAAAATGCTCTTATGAAAACACACATCTTTCTTGTAGATTTGATACTTTCTTCTACATCTATTCACTGGAGTCATGACAAATTTTTTAATACACTTCAAAAAATATCACCCAACGTATTCAGTAGTTTTAGATTCACTCATGATTTAAATTAAAATCAATAAGGTTCTGTATTTTACCAAATGACTCCTATGTTCTTGCTATAATTTATCAAGGTAAGATTTTTCTAAACTGGACTCATATATCAAATATGAGAAGCCTTAATGTAAAAATAAAATAATTTTATATCTAATTTTGGAAACTAGAGTTCAAGTAATTCTCAGTCAAGTTATTCAGCTGGTTTTTAGAGATGGTTGTAGAGGTTTCAGATAATAAAATCATGACATCTAAACAAATTTATGAGAAACATCTTACATTGGCAGTGACTCACCGGTACTCTTTGGTGTACTCAAAGTCTTGTTTGTTATATGCAGGCTTTAGGAAATTGCACTCAATGACTCCAATTACTCCCATGCCTTCTCCATGAGTTGGCTTAAAAGAAAAATATTAATTTCAACACTTACACTACTGTTGACTGCCTGAAGGCACCTCCTTTTTATTCCAAACAATAATAAAAAAGGTTACATAATATTTATGGGCAAAGAAAGGCTATCAAGTTCTAGCGAAGCACTGAGAATGCACTTCAATATATTGCAAGTATTGTACAGAACTAGAAACTAACAAATTCTAGAGTAGAGATTTCCAATGATTCACAAATCCATAGGATTATTTAAGGATTAATAACTATCTATAAAAAATAACTATATTTCACTCACATGTTCTTCACTTTCACATGCTTTATAGTCTAAGACTGCTCTAAAAGTTCATTTGGATAGAGAATTAGGCTGCTATTAAAATCAAGATTATATAATACTCTTATCAGGAAAGGAGACAGAACTTCATCTGGAAAAAATTTTAAAGATTTTACATGAACATTAAGCCCTTACATTATCTATTAATGTATACATTCTCTTCACATATATAGGCTACCAAACAACTACCAGAGATTCAGATTTGCAGAGGATATTAATGATAGTTGATACAAGAGGTTTGAGGATTTAAAATGTTTTTAAATTCTTTAATGGAAGGAATTGAATCATGGTGTAATTATACACCGTCATACAAACATGAGTTGTTCTAAAATGTGTAACAAGGAGAAAAACAAGATAACCCAAAAATTAGCTATCCTTGGCCTTATATAAATGCCTTCCTATGTGACATGAGGCAATCTATCATTTTTTTGCACTTTAGCAATCTAATCTGTAAGGAATGAAAGGGATACTTTGTGGAAATTACTACTTTAGATTATCATTATCTATGAAAAATAATGCTAACATTTATGTAGTTTAATTTATAAAATATTTTCATGTAATTTATCACAGTTAAATCTTCTTTTTTTCCCAAAATTTTATTAGTACCTGTTTGCAGCACATAGTGATTACAATCCTCGTGGAGAGTTGGTACATGTACATAACATACCAGTTAAATCTTTCAACTCTGTAAGCTCTGAGGTAGATAAAGAAGGTAAGATTAACATTTTTTTTGTGACAGGGTCTCTGTATGTAGTTCAGGCTTGCTGTAAACTCACTTATGTAGCCCAGGCTAGCCTTGAACTCATGGCAATACTCCTGCCTTAGCCTCCTGAGTGCTGGGAATACAGGAATGTGCCAAAATGAAACATTAATATTATTGTTGCCATACTACAGGTAGGAAAATTAAACCTCAGAGAAATGAAACAGTTTGTCCAAGGACATAGCTTATCAGTAGAATATCTCATACTCAAATCTTTTTTTTTAGGACAGGGTCTACAGGGTCTCACTATGTAGATCAGGCTCTTAGTGATCTGCCTGTGTTCAGCCTCCTAAGAACTGGGATTATAAGCGCATGCCACCAAGCCCAGTCTCAATCGCTGTCTCAGCGTGCCTTGGGGGTGGGGCTGGCATGGCATGCCGGGGATTGAACCCTGGCCACTATATCTGCCTAAGCAGGTGCTTTAATCTACTGAGTTATTTAGCCAGCCCTACCATACTCAAATCTTGATCTTTACCATTAAATTTTATGTCACCTTCTATTATTCCTTATTATCTCCCTAAAATAATAGGAAAAACTACCTTATAACTAAGAAGCTAATGCACTTAGAAAAGTTGCTGAAGTTCTAACTCTTCTTTTTATTAAATCCCACCTATAAAATGTATTTTAGTGAAGTTCCTGGGTTAACATCTCTGAAGAATGAAAAGCAGCAGAAGTTTTGGACACAAGATAACTCACTGATAACAGAGTTCTTGTATCAGAATTTAAAACCCAACATGACATGGGAATAAAAATCATTAATGAGTCTATCTTCTTTATACATTTTAAATTCGCTTCCTATAACTTTTAATCTTCTGTGACAAAGAAACAAAACACTCACCTTTTCCTGGCATCCCACCTTCTCAAAGGACTTTATGAGCCGGTTGTTATGATACATCATTATTCCAAAGTGATTACCTTTCTTGGAAGAGAATCCAAAAGTGATTCTCACTTGCTTATTCTATGACAATAATTAAGGAGACAAACACTAGGGGCTTTAGGACAAAATGTATTATAACAAAACACACCAAATACTGTTGTATATAAATTGGTAATTCTCTAAAAGACATTTAAAAATCTGCAGCAATAGAGTAGTTTAAAAATATTTTTAATCATTAACTAAGTAATTCTCTTCCTAGGAATTCATTCTACAGAAACTGTCAGAAAAATCCTTAAAGTTTCATGAGGTATAGAGATATTTTTTACTCAGTTGCAGTAGTAGTAAAACAAATAGTTTAAATGGTGAACCAAAATGGAATGATTAGGGGCTGGGGAGATGGCTCAGTAGAATAAGTGCTTCCCTGGCAAGCACAAAGGTTTGAGTTCAATCCTCAGTTTCACAAAAAAAAAAAAGGAATGATTAGATAAATTCACATGTTCTGTTATTCAGTTCTTCAAATAACATTCTTGAAAAACATTTGAAAGCAAGAGATGCTCATAATAACAAGCATTTGTTATATATATATATATATATATATATATATATACATGTATATAATATATATAAGCATACATATACATAAATAGAAAAGACTGCAAGAAAATATACCAACATACCAATAGAGACTAAACAATTCATAAATAATCACAAAATATTCCTTAACTCTTTACAGTTGCTAAGTTTGCTGTTAGGGTTCACAGGTTCTGATTAGGGTTGTATGTGGTAGAGTAGAAAACCATTCATTTATATGCAATATGGCAAGTCCTATTAAGATACAAAATACAATGAAAACAAAAGCAATAAGACCAAAATCATAGGCAAGTATTTTGCCTCTAATCCCAGCACTCTGGGAGATCACTAAAGAACAACGAATGGGAGTATACTGAGGTAAAAAGCTCCCCAAATTAGTATGGAGAAAAAGAACAAAGTGGGAGTGAAGCACGGTCACACAAGTTCTTTAATGGCAGTACTCAGGAGGCTGAGGCAGGAGGATTACCACAAGTTCAAGGCCAGCTTGGGCTACATAGTGAGTTCAAGGTCAGAACTACAAATTGAGACTTTATTTGAAAATATAGCAAAAAACTTGGGGCCATGGAGGTGGCTCAGTGGAATAAGTGCTTCCCTGGCGAGTGCAAGGGCCTGTGTTCAATCCCTGGTTCTGTAAAAAAAAAAAAAAAAAGCAAAAAAAATGAACAAAGAGGGGAGGTCTTTTATAACTAAAGAATACATAAATCAGAATTAGTGACTTGGAGATAATTCTACTAGGAATTCCCAGCTACACTGAATCTGTATAACTCAAACTGTAGTATTGAAAGGGAACTAGTTTGATAGGAAGGGGGGGATTAGAAGAGTTGAAGTATGTATAAAATATATGCATAGAAGTTGGCCTGATAGAAATGCACAAAAGGAAGAAACTGGAAACAGAAATGTGATGTATCCTAAAACAGTAGTTAAAAAACTTCTTTAGACTACCTCTGTTAAACTTGTAACACTAATATTTTATACCATATCAGGTGCTATAATAATTAATATGCTCACTGTGCTAGCTTTAATTTTGCTAAATTGGGTTTATTGAGAACTTTATTTTATTTGTTTATTTTTTTGTGATACCAGGGATCGAATTCAGGACCTTGAACTTGTCAGCCAGGGACTTATGCGAGTGAGCTATATCCCTGGCCTATAGCTTTAAAATAGTTTCTTAGAGGACAAGTTATGTTTCCAAAAAGGAAAACACAAATCAACCTGCTTATAAGTAAATACCACTTGGTTTTTTAGAATAGGAAGAACAATTTCTAATTTTATGTCAGGCAAAAACGACAAAATGAGATCATTCCTTTCATAGAGAAAATATAGTGCGGACACAATTCTTTAGACAAGATATGTTTGGTTACTGGAAAATAAAAAAGTGATTCCTCAAAATGGCTTAGGGTTTCTCAGCCTTTATTATTGTTCAAAAATCAATGAAGACTGACCTAATTTCCTTAGTTTACTAAAGAGATTACCTAGTACATCTCTGAAATGTATTCCCAATGCAATAGGGATAGAAATGAAAATAAGTAATTGGTTTTCCAAGTGGCTGACAGTTGTAAGTCCATGTCAAGCTTGTTAATAATTCACCTCTCTCTAAAAGTACTAACTGCTAATTTCCCTCTCCTACCTTCCATCAGTGTCTGTGCCTGGCTCTGGAACAACAAAAATAACTCATACCCAAAAGATTAACAAAGCCTAGTCAACATTACGTTTGAATCAATACAATATATGACAAAGTTCCAGTACAAACCAAATATGATATACATTTATTTCTTATGGCTGAGATTCTCAAACCTAGCTATTCACTGAAAGAAGCTAAGGATTTTAAAATAAATAAATACATCTTTTAAAAAATATTTCAGGGCCAGCCAGATAGCTCGGCAGACTAAAGTGCCTGCTTAGGCGTAGTGCAGTGGCTGGGGTTCGATCCCTGACATAAAATACAAAAAAAAAAAATTCAGAAGTGGCCATGTTGATGGGTGCCTATAATCCCAGCACTCTGTACAATGAGAATGGAGGCTCCTAAGTTTGAGCACAGCCTGGGCAATTCAGTGAGTTAGCTAGACTTTGTCTCAAAATTTAAAGAAAATGGGCCAGTCTCTGTGACAGCAGGGCGTTCGAGTCCAAGCTCTGTGCTTCCTTCAGTATCTCTAGGACAGCAAGCCTGAGAGCGGAGTGTAAGGACACATGCCTCTGGCAGGAAGACAGACTGAAGTGCCAAGACCAGAGACCCAGGACAACAGCTGGGCCCTGGGCATAGGGGTGCTCACATGCCTCTGGAGGGCACAGTAATCAGTGAGACTGTGAGGTGGAAGAGACTAAAGCAGCAATGAAGAGCAAGCAGTTGTGCTCTGGAAAACTCCACCAACAGAAGACAGTACCAGGACCCACATCCAGAGGCCAGGATCAGTTCCATACTCAGGACACAGCTGGGATTAAATATGGACACTATCTCTGAACTGTAAACACCAGAGATATTTTACTACTTTTATTTTACCTAGTTTATGTGATTGGCTATCCCTTTCCTGTCTGACTGGATGTGACTTTCTTTTGTTTTGTATTCTGTACTTATTTTTATATTTGGGTTTTTTTTTTCTTCTTTTTTTTCCCTCATCTCTTCCTCCAGTCTCCTTTTTCTTTCTTTTATTATCTTCTTTGTTGTTCTCATTCTTTCTTCTGTTTTTAATGTTCAGTTTTCTTACCTTTCCTTTTCATTTTCTTCTATGGATCCTCTTTCTCTCTTTTCTCAACTACTTCTTGAATTTAAATTTTCAAGGAAGTAAACACTGTCTCTGTCCTTTCTGACTAATCCTACATATTTTATTTCATTCTTTTGCTCCTGTGTTCTAGTTTCCCAAAACTCAGTTGATCAGCCTTTAATCTCTAGCCTTGATTCCACTATATTTGACCTCACTAATTACTTTAGCCTATCCCCTATCCATTCTAACTCACTACCCTGTAGAGCAGAGTAAAATCATACCATTAAAGGGAAAATCACTGTATATAAGTATACAGTATATGTTTTATTTTGTATATATAATTTTAATGTTTGCTCCTGTAGTCAGAGGTAACAGGTTAATGATTACTATGGTTTATCATTAGTTAAGCTATACTTGAAACTATTGTTATTACTAACTGTACTACTTTAGTCAGGATGTCACACATGTTATAAACGGTATTTTCTCCCTGGTATGACAACACTGTGATTGTATGAGGTCATAATCATCACAACAGCCCAGTACCACAAGATTAGGAGCTGAGTCAAATAGTAATTTTGCATCCTTTACAAATTGGGAAGATAGGGTCTTGGAATAGCTGTAAGAAACTACCTACATCTAGAAGATATCCCTGAAGAACAGATATCCTCTAGGGAAACCTTAATATTAGCTATAAAGTTATATAGCATAATAAATTGGCAAATGTTAACATAAAAAACAAAATAAAATAAAAAAGAGAAAATGAAAAGAAACTAAAGAAAAGTGCAACCCCAGACCCCAGCTTAACAAGGACAAACCTGGAACTTAAGGAGCTAGATGAAATTCAAAGTAAAAAAAATGGAAATTTCTCAAATGATAGAAACAGAAGTGAAAAAAAGTGGAAAAGGCTATAGAAAAAATAATCTCTCACGTACAGAAAGAAATGCTTTAAAACAAAGATATTTAAAAAAAACAGACAAAAGAATGAGCTTAAAAAATGATGGAGACAAAATAAATAATGCCTCACATAGGAAAGAAATGAAATCCATAAAATATATCCTAACAGAAATCCAAGAGCTTGAAACCTGCATTGAAAGTATTATGCTGAGCTGTAAAAGTCAACAACTTCTGACATTGCCAGTCCTATGGAAAACCCATTACTATTATGGACTACTGGACTTTATTGGAATATTTTGCTGAAGTCACATACCTACAATATTTAAATGACAATGGAATATCCTTCTCTGGCAAAACTAAACAAAAAAGAGGATACAAATGGAGGACCATTTTGTATCTACATATACAAAATAGTTAGGATAGATATACAGCTAGCTACTTTATGTTAATTCAATGAATAGAAAGATTTGTACTAATAGTGTTTGTGGACAGGATATCATGGTTGCATCTTATACAATGAATAACCATTGAGACAACAATACACAATATAGTAATTATTGAATCTGTCCTACTAATCAGTTTTGAAACTGTCTCATTGCTATTTGTTTCTCAATAAAATTATTAATAAAATAAAATAAAATATCCAATTTAAAAAAAAAGAAAGTATATGCAACAGATTGAATCAGGATAGAATTTCAGACTTGAAAACAGAATTGTAGCTAGTGATCATGAAAAGAAATGCATCTTAAAAAGAGCAAGATATCATGAAAAATCAATCAAACAGCTACAAGATGAAGCAAAGAAAATAAGATTGATTGGGGTCAATGAGAAAAGAGGGGAGAAAAACTCCACAGAAATAATGGCAGTAAACTTCCAAAGTGTAGATAAAGAATTTGA